TGTTATTTGCGCTCCTCTGTTCCACTTCGCAGAGGTATTGTCACAAGGGGTCAGCCCTCTGGACACCCTCCGAAGCAACCCGTTGACAGTTGTCAATTTACAAAGACAAGAACAACTGCCGGGTCAACATGTGACAGGCTGCTCCCTTCTGTTTGCTGTGGCTAGGGGTGAGCACCGCTGAGCAATTTAGAAAGTGACTGTCAATTGCAGATGTCTGGAGCTTGCTCCAAGTGGGGTGGGGAGACCAGGCCAAACTGGGGCTCTGCCCACTGGCTTCTGGGGTGTTCCTTGTCATGGACCCATAACCCCTATAGTCTTTTTCCAACTGCTGCTTAATTAAGCTTCCTCTTCTTAGGCTTGTCTGCCAGGCCTGAGCTCAGAGAACATTCCTTTGGCTGGGCTTGTGATGCTTCCAAATATTCTCACAACATGTTCAGAGACACTCCCTGTCTTCTCTCGGAGAGGCCTTGAGTCTGGGTGGATGTGTTCAACCTGTAGTTTGAAGCTTCTGGAGGACACCTCAGAGGCTTGTCTCAGGCTTCATCTCTGATCTGCCTCCCTTCTGCACTTGCAGGGACTTGCAGAAGTCCTTTGGGGGCCTCCAACAGGCCCACTTCCTGCTCCGGGGCTGTGGGCCACATCCCACCCGATCTGGGTACCAAGAGTGCCCCATGCCAAGTGCCCTTTCCTCTTCCTTTCTGACACAAAGGAGAGAGAGCAGCCTGTCGGCTCGAGGCCAATTTACCCCTTTGGATGACTCAGCACAAGCACTTGGCACTGAGCATTGAGAAAGCGACACTGCTCAGGTCCTGCAATGCCAGAACTGTCAGAGCTACATCCAGCAGTGCTGGGGGCCACCAGGTTATGCCCAGCAACACTGCAGGGAAAGTATCCGGTCCTCAGGTACACACACGCACCCTAAACCCTGTACTATTTCCCTGCCTCAAAAAGCACCTTTGAAGTCAATTCAGTCACTCAGGGTTGTTGCTGCTGCTATTAACTTCAGGTGATTTCTGAGCGTCATCTTGTTAAACGATGGACAATGTCCCTTGGCCTTAGCTCAGGCACTGCTCCCGCATCTGTGGGATGATTTGGAACACAGGGCTGTTTGCTTCCATTTCTGAGGTACTGTTCCAGGTACTCTAGTACCTGGCTAGTTCCGGGACGGGTATTAAACAGAGATCACTGCTTTTATAGAAATTCCTGCCTCTGTGTGTGTGTGTGTGTGTGTGTGTGTGTGTGTGTGTGTGTGTGTAGGGAGGGACTGGTAGAGGGGGTTCAACGAGAGAAAAACAATCAGCAAATAGTCCCATAAATACATAATTGGCAAATGTAGATATAACAACAAAATGTGGTAGGTTCCTGGAAAGATAAAAGGGGTGTTATTTTGTTGACAGCAGATAGAACAGGTAATATAAGAGCAGGAATAAGAGTTGCCCTGGAGCAGAGTAGCAGGAAAACATTCCAGGGAGACGGTCCTGTACAAAGGTCCTGAGGTAGGTAATGGTGGGTGGACTGGAACCTGATGGAAGCTCTGCAAAGTGAGAGCTTTCTTCCTTCTTTCCTCCCTTCCTTCCTTCCTTCCTTCCTTCCTTCCTTCCTTCCTTCCTTCCTTCCTTTCATTCTCTTTGCGGTGCTCAGGGCTTACTCCTGGTTCTGTGCTCAGAACTAGAACCAACCTTGGCCATGCTAAGGTGACCATATGTAGTGCCAGGAACAGAACCTGAGCTAACAACGTACAAGGCAAGAGCTTCCCCATTATATTATCTCCCTGACTTCAGGTTGTTCCTTGAGATCAGAATGTCAGCGGGAGAGATCTGCTCAGGTCTTCATTGCCCAAAAATTCCTGGGGTGGGGTCTTTGAAGAGGTGTCATGGGGAGATGAGTATGGACTCAGAAGGAACAGGCAGGTGTCAGTGACAGTGGCCCTAGGAGGAGTGATACCTAGGCTGGGCACCGGGACAGTGGTTAGGAGCCAGGAGAGGTAGCTGGAAGGCTGGAGTGTAGCTTTGCATGCAGGGAGCTGGGCTTGATCCCCAGCAGGACATGATCCTTGAGCACTGAGTGCAGAGGAGTCCATGAACACTGCCAGGTGTGGCCCCCAAATAAACATACCAAAGATTAAAATCTGAAAATCATGTCTCTGCAAGAAGTTGCGGCACAACCTCAACTCATGGCAGAAACAAAACTCTTAGCAAATCAAGAACAACTGACTTGGCTTGAACAAAAATCCTAACAACTTTGTTCTCCAGAGACTGAAACATGTTTCAAGCCCCCTCGATCTACTATTATTGGCCAGAGCTGCTCTTCGTAACAATAGTGACAGAATCTAACGCTCCGCAAAGCGCCCTGCGCGCCAGGTCCTGTCCAAGGGCTTTGCCCTTCCTGGTAACCTGCAATGGTGTTTACCAGCTGCTTTCATGATTCCCAGAAAGACAGACTCTATGCTGAGTGGGCAAGGAGGCAATGTCCGGGGACACGTCAGTGGGTATCTCGGAGCCTGAGGGCCAGAGGAACCTCATGATGGTGGGCCAGGCTAAGGGAGGAAGGAGCTCTGGGTCTCGAGCCCAGGGAAGTTAAGTAACTGATCTTAGGACACACAGCACAGTCAGGTGGCAAATCTACCCAACTAAGGAGTCAGAGAACCAGACAGACATGGCAGGAAGTGGGGCCTGTGGCGGCCTGAAGCCGGGAGGGGCCGACCTGTTTTTGTTGCCAGTGAGCTAACACAAACATACTCCTGTGGCTGTGGTCTTGTCTGTCCACTCACACCCACAGCTCTGGGTGGCCTGCCAGAGGGTGAGCACCCACGTGCAGGCAGAGGGTGAGCCTTGGAGACTCGAACAGAGAGATGGGGGGACTAAACGCTGGGGAGGGTTCCAGGTGGGCACAGGGCCCTGCTCCGCCTGCTGTGGCTGCCCATCCCTGAGGATGCCCCCTTCTGCCCATCCTGGACCAGGGTCCCAGACACTTGCAGGCAACCAGGCACCTTCTGCTGTTTCTAGAATGTTCCACTGTGTTGCTCTAGTTCAGAACCCAGTGATTTCTTACTGGGTGACAGGACACTGCCACTTGTAGTCCAGACCCAGACCTATGAAGGCCCTCTGCAGAGGGAGTGTGCAGGGACACAATCTCACCTAGGACCCAGGAGAGCTCAGGGGAAACTGCTCCCGCCTGGCATGCGTGAAGCCAGTGAGCATGCATGAGAACATGATTCCCATGCCCACATGCCAACCCAGAGACTCTGCTGAATGAGGTGTGTGCTCTCTGGGGCACTGCAGCCCAGTGTACAACTGCTGGCATTACAGAAACAACAGCTAAAAAGGAGAATAAATTAGAAAAAAAAGTAGCAGGGGCAAAATCTCTCTCCGACAGGTTTCCCTGCTAAGCCTCTGTGCACCACCCTTCATGCAGCCCAGTCAGGCGGCCTCCGCCCCCGACCCCTTCCTGCTGGGAGTGTCCCTGTCACGTCTGATAGCTACAGTGAAATGGATGTGCCGCTCTGAGTCTGGCTTCAAGGTCTTAGCTTCTGCTGTTCCTCTCACTTGTCCCTGATGAGGTTTCCCTCCCCTGCTCCCTAGCCCCGCTCCCCTCCCCATCCCTGTCCGAGACCCTTAGAGGCTTATGCACATTCCCATCACTATGATTTTCATATCGACTGACCAGCAGGTCAGGTTCCGAAATTATTCCAGAACCACATAGGCCCCTGAGCACAGGAGATGCAGCTCCTGAGGTCCCTCAGTGGTACCGGATATGGTCCAGGAGGTACCCAGCACTGCTGGGGTGACCAGGACATCCTGACACTCAGGGTCCAGCAGCACTGCATTCTGGGTCCTTAGGGTGAACTCCCAGCCTGATTGGCCAAGAATCACTAATGAGATTCCCTGAGTTTCCTTGCACCTCTTGAAAAGCCCCCTTTCTCTCCAAAGCCAAAGCTACAAACAAAAACGTTTATTAAACTGTTACCGTAGGGGCTGGAGTGATAGTACAGTGGGTAGGATGTTTGCTTTGCACATGGTAGACCCGGTTTAATCCCCGGCATCCCATTTAGTCCCTTGAGCCCTGCCAGGAGTGAACCCTGAGCATAGGGTCAGAAGTTAGCCCTGAGCATTGCTGATGTAACTTCACCCAGAATTTTTTTTTTTAATTTAAATAAACTCAATACTATGTGCTAGATACTGTTCTGGGTGCTGAGAAATGTCAGGGTGAAGAAATAAACTCCTATCTGGGGATGGACTCACAACAGCCAAGTAGAGAAACAACCAGGATGCATGAGACTCTGGAGATGGATCTGGAAAGTGGGTAGTTGGATGACGGGGAACTTGGGTTGGGGAGAGGGATGAACACCCCCCCCCCCAAGCTCTTGGGCTGTCCTGGGGACCCTTAACTGTTGCAGAACAATTTTTGGTTGGGGAGGGAAGCTGAAACGCTCTGTCAGAGGACACACAGCTGGGGAGGTGTGAACACCAACTAGCCCTACCGCACTTCCCACGGCTGCCCCATTGCACCAAGTGTGCTCCAAAAGCAAAAACACATGGAGCATCTGGTCCCAGGTGTAGTTAGGGGCTCTTTACCTGGCGGGCCTGGCTTGCAGGCTGGGCAGTGCTGTGCATGCTCACCATGACTGGCTTCACCGTCTATGACCTACTGTGAGCAAGCAAATCAGAGGCACAACATCTGCAACTGTACTTCGGAAATCTGGAAACAATTCATGGCAGGCTGACTCAGTCAGAGGCCCCCTGCCTAAGGCAAATACAGGTTTCTCCGAAGGCTGGCCCAGCCCTGCCCACGCCTCCTGTATACAAGGAAACAAAAGCTGACAGCCCAAGAATTAATCCCCAAAACTGGGACCAGTAAGGAGCAGAGATCTGGATTAAGCTACACCCCACATTTGAATACTTCAAAAAAAATTATTTTAGTGGCTACCACACATCCTGGGCAGGGGTGAGGTATTTAAATGTGTTCCCTGTAGGGTGAAGCTCACTCGCCAAAGCCTCCAGCTACAGAAGAGCCTGTGTTGAAGGTAATCTTCTCCCTGACCCTGTTTCTAACCTTCCCCTTTCCCTGCCCCGCTGGGCAGGGTCCCGCTCTGCGGGGGTCCCTCTGTCCCCCTGGAGCATCGTCTCCTGTGTGATCCTGGTTGGGGCCCTAGGGCAGTGATGGTCTCCCCGGGACCTGCGGGACTGGCGGTGGGGGGTGCCGGCCCTGCCGAGTGCCGTGCTTAGGGCAGGAGTGATGGCTGGGCGGGCAGGAACGGCTCAGAGCCTGACATTGGTACTTGGCTGTGAGAATCTTACGTCCTCCAGTTTCTTTTTTCTTGTCCGTGAAATGAATTCATACTAGTGTCTTCTCCAGCCCTGTGCAGGGCTTAGATGAACATCCAAGAGGGAGCCCTGGCCTCCTGGCAGGAAAGCTGGCGTTGCTGAAGCAGGGGGCATGCAGTAATGGGAACGGGGCGCAAGAGGAATGCAGCTGCCTGCTTGGGGTGGCAGGCACTGTGTTTGGTGCTTTCTTCTTCTTGGGGTGGGGGGGACACACTGGCTACGTTCAGGGTTTCTACCTAGTGCTGTGCCCAGGGATCCCTCCTGGCGGAGTTCAGGGACCCCACCCATTGCACTACCACTCCAGCTTTGTTCCTGGCTCTCTTCCTCTTTATCATTGTAATGGTTACTAGGGTGCTAGCTCCCCAGCCCCAGTGCTTTCCTGAGACCCCAGCAGTGGAGGTGGGCGTGAGCTCTTTGTTCCGAGTTGCTGTTTAGAAACTGTGACCCAGGTTGCACCCTACAAGGCCCGGGTGGAAAGTTGTATGGGGGTAGGGTAGAAGTGCTGGGTCTATTCCTGGCTGGACTTGTGACCTCCATGAGGGGGTCCCTCAGCTCCTGTCAGAGGCAGAGTGGGATGGGACACCTCCATGCTTCTGGGGCCATGGTCACCAGCAGGCCCTTCTTCCTGTGCAGAAAACCGATGGGGCTCAGTCCCTGGAGAAGGGGTGGTAACGTCTGCTCCAGAAACCACTGGTCAGATTGGGGAGATGCCCCAAGTGCTGATGCTGATGCTTTGCAGTGGGTGCGCTTGGGTTTGATTCTCAGTACCACATGGTCCCAAGAGCCACTGGTCTTACCCCCAAAACTAAAACAAAATAAAAACAACCTCAGGAAACCACTGGCTAAAATCAGAATACAGTGTGTATATATAGTATATATAAAACTATTTCCATTTTTAAAAAGAAAACATATAATATTTTGTATCTACATATGGATACATAATGCATGTATTGTGTAATATTGTAGATGATATCCGCATTTTGGGAACTGCCCTTCTTGTTTGCATTTGTATCTGCAATGCATGCTTGCACAGTACAGTGGGAGGTTGTGTATTCACTAAAGGGCTGTGGCGCTCTATCTGTCTTGCCACCCATGTTCGGTGGTCTCACGCTGCTTCCCCCACTCTGGGGAGGCCGATGGTAATGGGCAGGCCAACGAAGGAACGAGGGCCAGGCTGGTTGGTCTCAACTGCAGTTTATTCCAGTGTCCTCTCCATTCACTTCTCATTCTCCTCCTGCTTCTTTCTCCCCGTGCCTACTCTTCCCGCCTAGTTAAATTCCCCTCATGAGGGGTTGGGGTAACAACTACACATAGGTGTCATCATACAATCAGCAGAAGTAAGGTCTTTCCCTCAGAGGAAGCTTCCTTCAGGACAGATTCTTGTCCAGCAAGACGACTGGTCTAAGGGCAAATATGGATATGTTTCTCCTTTCCTTAGTCCAACAAACATAGAAACATTCATAATATTAATCATTTTGTATGGACACAGTAAGAGATGCATTAAGCTTATAGAATTGCTCTCCTAGGGCCATCTCAATCTCAGACTACAGTGCTCAGGCCAAATTAGTCTTTCCTATCCCTAGCAGGTTCCTAATATCATTGTTACTTTTTGGATCATGACAGCATTTGTCCATGATCAAGCTCTTAACTTATAGTGGTGCTTTGGCCTGACCCATTTCGATGCCAGGATAGCTCACAGCTTGCCCTGGGTCCATTCAGTTCCTCATCGTCAGGACCCTGCTTTGGGGTGCTAGGAATGAAGGGGAACTGAGGCTTAAGTCAAGAAAGCAGATGACCGGGAAGGAATATTATTTGGAGTCAATTAACTCCCAAGTTACAAAAGCATAATATTAACTGTCTTCCTGTGTCTATACCAAAAGGACATAGCTTAAAAGTACAAAAGGACATAAGAGAAGGACAAAAGCAATATTTCACTCATGAATATAAAATTATAGATTTCTGAGGAATCTGACCTTACAAGTTAACAGAGTCTGATTGGGAGGAAAAAGTGATAGACCGGTTGGGGAAGAGAGCACAGAGAAGAGGTTACAGATAAACACAGTGGAATGGAAGTGCCTCAGGAGCACTGTGATAAGCCTAAGCTCCCTGTGACAAGGGAAACAGGACATACCAATGTTATCCTAAAATGTTTAGCGCTACATTCCAATAAACACAGAGGAATGGAGGTGCTTCAGGGGCACTGTGATGGGCATCACCCGATAAACCTAAATTCTTTGTGGCAGAAGAGAATGGGCATACCAATGTTAAACCTAAAATGTTTAGAACTATATCCCAACAGGACATATCTGTTACTCGCTAACCTGTGGGTCTTTTCTTCTTCTGCTTCTCCTTCTCTCTTTTTTTTTGGTTGGGGGGGGGGGGTGCTGTTGAGCCATACCCTGTGGTGCTCAGGTCTTACTCCTGACTCTGTTCTCAGGGACCACTCCTAGCAGACTTGGGAGACCATATGGGGTGCCAGGGATCTAACCTAGGCCAACAGCGTGCAAGGCCAGCACCCTCCTGCTGCGGTCTCTCCGCTCCTGGTGTCCTTCCCTCTGTTGGCGCTGGCACCTGAGGCTCACGACTCTCCTTTAGCCGTGCTGCTCACACAAACTCACTCTGGGTGGGGAGTAGTGCTCCTCACTGTGGTGCTCATGGGTCCTGCCCTTGACCAGTGGTTGTGCACACACTTGGCTTGCTCTCTTAACTACAGTGCCCAAGGAACACTCATCAGAGGATCTTTACAAAGCTGCTGAGCACTGGGTCTCACTGGAACTTGTTCTCGGTCTCCGGGTGCTGCACAATCTTCCGTCATGTGCACGCAGCCATCCAGGTTTTCCTAGGGTTTCTTGTAGCTGGAGCCTGCCTGCTCCTTCGTGCAAAAGTGGCTCTTTCTGGCTTTGCTTAAACACACCGCAGTGATTCCTTTTCAGATCACAGACAGGGCCCACCTCCTGGTCTTCTCTGCAAACGTGTTTGTCATCTGCGCATTGGGGCATGGAGACTCCAGAGGAGTAAGGATACCAGGAGGAACAAAATAAGGTCACGTTTCCTAGAGCTCCCAGATCCTCCTCTCTCTGCGAGGAGAGGCTGAGAGCAGTGAGGGCGTGCCCGGTGCCCGCGCCCCTGGCCCCCAGATACCTCTCTCTCTCCCCAGAAACCATGACCAGCATCAGCGATGTGGTGAAGCGGGCCCGGGACGCCTTCAACTCGGGCAAGACGCGCCCCCTGCAGTTCCGCATCCAGCAGCTGGAGGCGCTCGCGCGCATGATCAAGGAGCGGGAGAAGGACATCGCGGACGCTCTGCACGCGGACCTGAACAAGGTGCCCCCGCGGGTCCGCCCCGATGCAAAGGGACGCGCAGGGCACAGAGCGGGAGCTGTCTGCTCGCCTTCCGTCTGCGGCGCCTGTGCCCTTTCTACCCACGGCACAGAGCGGCCAGCCCCGCGGGCCGCCGGCGTGGCCTCTCTCGGTCCCATCCCCAGGGGCAAGGGCTGACCCTTCCTTCCTCCAGTCTGCCCTTCTTCCTGGCTTTCTCCACACTGCCAGGCGCAGAGGCCGCTGCTCGCCAGCCGTACCCCACCCCGACACCCCAAATGTCTGGGGTCCTTGTTTCTCCTCTGGGTTGGTCACAGTCACCCCTGGTTGGGACTCTGCTGGTTTCCTCACCACCACCCCCCGTCCACCCCCCCACTTCCCTAAGCAACACAGCTTCTCCCTTCGTACTGCTCCCCAAGTCCTCTGCCCTGTCCCCTGACCCTTGCTGCCCTGGGGGCGAGCAGAGCAGCAGTGGAAGCCCTCCTTTGCCATCCTTTGCTGGTTGTTTAAATCTCTTGGGATTGCTCTTTAAATTTTTCTTTTTTAATTTGGGGGTATCCCACCTGGTAGTGCTCAGGGGACCATGTGATGCTGTGAGGCCAGAGACTAAACCCGGGGCTCCAGGTGCAAATCACACACTCCAGCCCTTTGAGCCATCTCCCTTGTGTTTGCTCACCTTCAATCAAAACAGACAATGAAAAAGCCCACTCAGTTGTCTCAAGCTTCCATTTTGCTCCTCAGAGCCCACCAGCAGTTCTGTCGCGCCTGCGCTCTGCAGTTCCCCTCTCCCGTCTCCCTGGCTCTGTGGGGGTCCAGGTGGCCTGCCCTGCCCGCCCTCAGCTGGGGGTCTGCATTCTCTCCTCTTTGACAACTTTTTTCCTCTGCCTACTTCTTCAGGGGGTCTTGGAGGTCCATCCTGGGCTCAGTCTCATTTTAGTCTATAATTGGTGTTCCCAGACAGTGCCCCCAACCCTGCCACACACATGTACACACGTGCACACACACACATACGCAACCTTCTATTACACACACATACACATGTGCACTCACACACGTACACACACATATGCTCACACTCTCACACTTAGTCATACACATCTGAACAACATACATGCTCACATGTGCAGACCCCCCACACACACACACTCACACACACACAGGCCTCAATCACTACAAGCCCTCAAATTATTCACAGACCCTCAAATTCAAGACACTCTCTGGTAACTCAAACTTGACATGTCCCCCATTGGGTCCCCAGCACAGAAAGGAGCTCTCAAAGGCCCGACTCCCCCCAGACCTCATATTTGTCAGTCCTACCACCCACCTCCCCCCTGCCTCTTCTGGACTGGAGGTCCCATGAAGAATGGCCTCCACCCCCTTGGCAAACGTGTCAGGCTTTGTCCCCGTCAGCCACAGAGCAGCCCTGTGAGCCAAGGCTCTGTGGCACCTGCGCTACAGGCTCTCGTTTGTAGATGGGAGGATGGGGTTAGTAGAGCTAACAGGGGTCACAGGGCTGGAGAAGGGACCACCTCAGCCAGCGCCAGTGACCACCTGCCCTCCCGCCCAGAACGAGTGGACAGCTTACTATGAGGAGGTGGTGTACGTGCTGGAGGAGATCGAGTACATGATCAAGAAGCTGCCTGAGTGGGCAGCGGACGAGCCTGTGGAGAAGACTCCCCGGACGCAGAGGGATGAATCCTACATCCACTCAGAGCCCCTGGGCGTGGCTCTCATCATTGGCACCTGGAACTACCCCTTCAACCTCCTCATCCAGCCCATGGTGGGCGCCATTGCTGCAGGTAACAGCCTCTGTCCCCCACGGTGAGAGGAGAGGGGCATGGAGCCACTCCTTTGCAGGAGGCTTCAGTATCTAATCTGCACAGTCAGGCCTCCTGGTGCAGGAGTGTGGGGTGTACGCCAGAGCCTGTGACTGAGGCCCCTGCTTGCTCTACCCATGGGGCTGGTGGATTCTGCTTCCTTAACAGCTAGGGCGAGTTCCACCCCCAGCCAGGCCCCATGGTCTTCCCTATATTTCTTCCCCTCTCCTCCCACAACTCTTCGTGTCTGCTGTGTCTGCTGTGTCCGCTGCTCAAGTTTCGAGCTGAGTCTGTGTGCTCTGCAGGGAATGCAGTGGTCCTCAAGCCCTCGGAGCTGAGTGAGAATATGGCACAGTTGATAGCCACCATCATCCCTCAGTACCTGGACAAGGTGAGTCTCTGAGCTAAGGGAGAGCAGGAAAAGTCCCAGGAGGGGAGGGTCACACAGCAGGGGGTTCTTCCATCCAGGGCCACCAGAACTAGGGTGCAGAGCAGCTCTGTCCTGCCACAGAGCCCCAGGCTGCCCAGGAAGGGGTCACAAGGGGCTGCACGAGTTGCTGAACCCCACTTCCTCCTTGGCTGGGAAGGATCTGTACCCGGTGATCAACGGCGGAGTCCCCGAGACCACAGAGGTTCTCAAGGAGAGATTCGACCACATTTTCTACACGGGGAGCACAGGTGTGGGGAAGATCGTCATGACCGCCGCGGCCAAGCATCTGACCCCCGTCACACTGGAGCTGGGGGGCAAAAGCCCCTGCTATGTGGACAAGGACTGCGATCTGGACGTGGCCTGCAGGTGGGTGGGCATGGCCGTGGTGGAGGAGAGCTTGACCATGCTCACAGTGACGTCCAGGCAGTCCAGAGTGTTTCTTCTTGGTTTTTATTTTGGGGGCATTCCCGGCAGTGCTCAGGGCTTACTCCTGGCTCTACACTCAGGGATCACCTGGTGCATTCAGGGGGTCAGACAGGGTGCTGGGGATCAAACCTGGATCAGCCCCTTGCAAGCCAAGTGCCGTCCCCACTACTACCTCTCTGCCCCAGAGCAGCATCTCACAGATTTCTCCCTGCCCCCAACACCCACCCCACCAAGTACATGCCTGAGGGCAGGGGCCTTCCCCACTGAGGCAGTGCTGAGCTGTGCAGAGTCAAGGGCTTCATCAAAGGCCAGAGGCTGCTCACTTCAGGCAACCCCTTCAGTCCCCCAAACACCCCCCCAGTCATGGATGAAGTTGGGGCACTGGACCCCTCTGACCACTCCCCGACCAAATCCCCACCCTGTGTGTGTCGGGGCATGCATCTGGTCTGAAGCTGAGTGAGGCATCTTGGGAGCTGCTGGCAGTGAGTGCCCAGCAGCTGCCTTCCTCTTCCCTGGGAACCCTTCCAGCACTTAGCCCCGGGACCCCCCCAGGTGAAACCCCACCCTGGACTCTTCACAGACGCATCGCCTGGGGGAAGTACATGAACAGTGGCCAGACTTGCGTGGCCCCTGACTACATCCTCTGTGACCCTTCCATCGAGAGCCAGATTGTGGAGAAGCTCAAAAAGGCCCTGAAGGTGTGTGCGGGTCCCGTGTGGGAAGGGAGGCTGCAGACAGGAAAGTGGAGGTGGGGGGAGGGCTTTATGCTGAACTCAGGACTCAGTAAACACTAGCTCATGTTTCTGATAGAAGGAGTGCAAATCCACTGTGGGGCACTGTGGAAGGATTCAAAAACAAAAAGCAGAGGTCTGGGGGCTTCCACCCCCGAGAAAGGCACAGCTAACACATCCGCATCTCCCTCCCATTTCTGCAAAACTGAGTCCATTCTGAACTGACTTTTGAACCTGATGTTTCAGCCACACCAACCACAACCACCCCCCTCCACCCACACACACCACAGCCCACAGGCCAGCCATCAGGCCCCCATGGCGCCATTTTCCCTGCACTGGGCCCTGTGCTGGGCCACCACCAGGACCTGAGAGCGTTCCTGAAGCCACTCCTCTCCCACAGGAGTTCTACGGGGAAGACCCCCAGAAGTCCCGTGACTATGGGCGAATCGTCAGTTCCCGGCACTTCCAGAGGGTGATGGGGTTGCTGGAGGGCCAGAAAGTCGTCCATGGGGGCACTGGGGATGCAGCCACCCGGTACATAGGTATGTACCCTTGCCCTTCAAGAGGGATTGCCCACTCCCTGAGCTGGTGGCCAACAGGCACAGTGACAGGGAAAAATCTCCTTCAGGGCTGGCCCTGGGGCTACCTGCAGGCAGGGGCTGAACTCATCTTCCTAAGTGTCCACCAACCCCTAAGCAGGTCCCTCCTCAAAGTGGAGACAGCAGCAGCATCTCCCCCGCCCCCCTCTGTGCTTCCAGGGAGTGACCCCCAACCCCCACAGTCTCCCCAAACAAAAGTCAAACCAAACCCACCTCCTCTGCACAGTGGCCTGGGGGCGGGGAGCGAGCCCAGCTGTGAAGGCAGAAAGTGTGACTCAGTGCCAGGCCTGAGGGTCACCTCTCGCACCCCACTGGATCTCAAAGTACTGAAGTGAATGAGGGCTCAGGTGGCCATTGGGGGAGTGTCTAGCCCCCAGATAAGGCTCCTGGGGCTGGAGCCATAGTGTAGTGGGTAGGATGCTGGCCTTGCATGTAACCAACCAGGGTTCCATCCCCGGCATCCCATATGGTCCCCAGAGCAATTCCAGGAGTGATTCCTGACTGCAGGGCCAGGATGAAGCCCTGAGCATCACCGGGAGTGCCCCCAAAACAGAAAAAAAAATTAAAAACTGGATAAGGCTCCTGGGCTCCCCGCAGCCCCCAGTAGGCTGACAGTTCGTTCCCCAAACCACCTGTGAAGGGGTTGGAGTGGGGGGCTTCCGTGCCGATGGGCTCTGATTATATCTTGCCTCAGCACCCACCATTCTCTCCAACGTGGACCCGCAGTCCCCAGTGATGCAGGAGGAAATCTTCGGGCCAGTTCTGCCCATCGTTCACGTGCGCAGCCTGGACGAAGCCATCCAGTTCATCAAGCAGCGCGAGAAGCCCCTGGCACTCTATGTGTTCTCCAACAAGGACCAGGTAGCGCAGTGCACGGGAGAGTTGGGCCCAGGCTGCACGCAGGGATCCGGCCTGCCAGGCCACCTGCCAGGCCACTTCATTTTCCTGAGCCCCTTTCTCTGCCTCTCTGCAGGGGATGGGTGATACCGGGCTCAGGGCCAGCCAGGGCAGCGTTGCTCTTATGTGCCCTGTGAGGAGAGTGGGGTCCTGACGGCTGAAGGGGGCCTGGGGTGGGAGGCTGGGGCATCCCTGAGGTGAGGCTCAGACTGAGGTGGGTTTGCTGTTGCAGGTGATTAAGAAGATGATTGCAGAAACTTCGAGTGGTGGAGTAACAGCTAATGACGTCATCGTCCACATCACCGTGCACTCTCTGCCCTTTGGCGGTGTGGGTGAGTTTGGGGCAGAACCTAGCACCCAACAGCCCCCTACTGAGGTCAGGGCACACCCCACCCAGCGAATTCAGCAGGGGTCATGGGTCCCCACTCACACTGTGGGTAGCCACCGTCCACATGTCCCCTGAGCGCCCGGGCACCAGGCCTGCTTCAGAGAGATCCTGGGGGGTCAGCAGGGCTGCTCTGGGCAGGCTCTACCCCCTACTCCCAGCTCCCGGGGCAGACCTGAGCTGGCTCTCCCCACAGGGAACAGCGGCATGGGCTCCTACCATGGCAAGAAGAGCTTTGAGACCTTCTCTCACCGCCGCTCCTGCCTGGTGAGGCCTCTGAAGGACGATGAGGCCATCCGGGTCAGGTACCCGCCCAGCGCTGCCAAGGTAAGCAGCAGGAATAGGACTGGGGGGCCGGGCTCGGGGCACACGGGACCTCACTGTCCTCAATCCCCCTGCAGAAGACGCACCACTGAAGAGTGCCGGCCACCCGCCTCAGCTCACTGCATCCCCTCAAGAACTGCTCCTGCCTCTTCTGGGTGCCCCCCGCAGGCTCCCACCCCTACCCCAGCCAGCCCCGCCCCCCATAGGTGCCAATAAAGGTTCCAGTGGTGTTTCCACCCTGCTGTGCAAATATGTGTTTGTGTGTGTTTCTGTCCCGGCATGTGCCTCTTCTGCTTGGCTTAGGGCCCCCAGCTGCCCGTCTTGACAGTGGGAATGGCCCCGAAGCCTTTCCTTAGTGGGATCCTCTCAGTGGGCAGGACTGGGGGAGTGCCAGGGGCAGTTTGCTCTCCCAGAGGCTGGTGGCTCCATCTGGCGTGTCCAGTAGCGAGTGTCCTTGGTGACTGAGCCTCCGGAAAGTAACCAGAAGACCCAGGCTGTGGTTTTGCTGTGTTTCCAGAAGCTTCTGGAATTTTCTGAAAGTTTCTGTCACCCCAGGAAAACAGCTTCTATGTATCTGTCCAGATGCTCTCACACATTTTGCAGAGTAAGGCAACATGCAGGTGTGAACCACATGTGGGCAGAGGAACGGTCTGACAGGAAGTATGTGTGAGTCCCTGAATTTGACACCACCTGCCAGGTGCAAAGTGCAGCACCTTTGGGTTGGCCCCAAGTAAAAATGTGCAACAATAAAAAATAAAGAAAATGACTCTTAAATTGGAGATCAACATAATCCTCTCAAATTAGGTTTGACAACTGGGCAGGTTCTCAGTGACAAAAGGTGGGAGCCTCCTGGGTGATTTCCGGCCCAAGTCCTGAGCAAGCTTGGTCAGCACCAGGTCACATGGTGCCCTGGAACTTTCCCATCAGGCAATCGCTGATCCAGCTCAGTGGCCTGAGGAAGCAGACACTGGTCTAGACTGGCACTGAGCTACCGCCAGGAAAGGCTGCCAAGCTTCTGGAAATAGACCCTCCTTCGGATGTTGGAGCAAGCGTCCTGACGCTGGAGGTGCTGGACCAGGGGGCCAGTGTCCAGTCAAGAGTGATGGTTTGTGAGGAGAGTCCACTGTAAAGGCGCAGCCACCCCCACACCATTCTCACAGCACCAGCTTCACCAGGGCGTCTCACCCCTGTTCCTGCCCCGCACTCCTGGCAGCCTGGTGTCCCCCAAAGCAAACTTCTGCTCGGCCCACAGCCCGTGCCCCTCCCAACCTCAGCTGCCTGGACCTTCACTCCAGTGAGACCATACCTTTAATGATTGCCCAAATATGTCCAACTCTGCATTTCTACCTCCACCACCCCCAGCCGTTTCACTGGAAGCTTCTTGTGTCATCTTTCTTCTGATCAGGCTCCCCAAATCTTCGTTCTTCTCTGAGCTCCCAGAAGATATTCCTAAAACAAAATACCAGGCCTTGCCACTGCCAAAATACCCAGGTAGCCTCCAGCATCTCTGAGACTGTGCCCCCACCCAAAAATAAGAAACTTAATTCTCTTGGCAAAAAGGAAGGAAGAAGGGGCAGAGTAGATGGTACAGAGGTTTGGGCACTTGTTTTGCTTGTAGCTAATCCCATTTCAATTCCTGGTGCTGCATATGGTTCCTGGAGCCTACCAGGACAGAGCTCAGAGTCAGGAGTAAGCCCTGGCCACTCTGTAGTCCCCAAGTCAATAAATAAATCGAGGAAGGAAGGAGGACTAGGGACATAGCTCGAAGGGCTGGAGAACGTGCTTGGCCAGTAGCAAGCCCAGACTGGGGCAGCCCCTGTGCATTGCCTGATGTGGCTCAAAAAATACAGAAACAAAACAAAATATAAAACTAAAGAAGTTTATCCTTTCCTTTTCCTTATTTATTTTTGGTTTCTTTGTCTTTAGCCTCACTTGGCAATGCTCAGGGGTCACTTCTCACTCTGCACTCAGGAGCACTCCTGGCAGTGCTTGGGGGACCACGTGGGAAGCTGGGGATCAAACCTGAGTTGGCCACATGCAAGACTAATGCCTGACCCGCTCTCCAGGCCCTCTCCCTCCCTATTCTTTCGAAAAATTACTTTATGAAGTTTGTCATTGTATGTATTTTTCTTTGTCTCTTTGAAATGTGTGTAAATCTTTTTAGAAACCAGTAAACCTCTTGCCAGTTTTCCAAACCAGGATGATTTTGTTTTGTTGTTTTGTTTTGATTTTTACTGGGGAGCACCTGGCAATGCTTGGAGTCTTCTCCTAACTCTGCTCACGGGTTTTCATGAGGCCATGAAATGCCAAGAATCAAACCAGGAGCGTTCAAGGCAAGTGCCTTAACCCTAAAATATTTCTCTGGCTCCAAACCAGGGTGTTTTTTTACCAGGACTAGGGACTCATCTATTAAGAAACAAGTGAAGATGCAGATGAATTGAGGGTGTCAACCCACACACCAAGGTAAAGGAATGTTAAGGAAGGAATTCAGAGTACGTGAAAATAAAATGCTTTGTACAGCAAAGGAAGATTATGCAAAGTGAAAAGTCAGAAGGAAAAAGACAGGTGTTGAGTGATTTCACTTATGTGGGTTATATAAGGATATAAAGTTGATGAACACATAAAATGAAACAAAAACACAGCCAGGGACCAGAGAGAGAGAGAGAGAGAGAGAGACAGAGACAGAGACAGAGAGACAGAGAGAGACAGAGAGACAGAGAGAGAGAGAGAGAGTGAGAGAGTGTACAGGAAGTACAGGAAGTGAGTTGTTTGTCTTGCACACAGCCAGGTCTGGTTTGATCTCCAAGAACCATCAGGAGCCCCTGCCAGGGCTCTCTACTCCTGAGTAGAGAGCCAGGAGTAGCCCCTGAGCACTGCAAGGTGTGGCTTCCAAACTTCCCTAAACCCAAGGACCTCATCTTGTTAATTTATCTGTTCATTGTTTTTCTCTCACCATTAAAATGTGGCCCTGAGCTTTGTCCCTCTTCACCCTCCTTCCTGGCAATAGCCGGATGCAGTAAGAGTTGTGAATGCCTTGATAGGTGAGACTGCGACTCAGGAGGCAATGCCCATCAGAGGTATCACATGCCCATCAGAGGTACCACAGCACTGGAGTTAACTGGTACCAGGGGGATGATAACTGTGCCAACTTTGAAGTGGTCCCCATGCCCTTGTGCGAGAGCTGCAAGTACTCCACTTCAAGGAGAGAGGATTCAGGGTTTCCAAAAGAAAGATTTTGAGTATGTGGATAAAAATGATCAGTGTCTTCTTTCTCCTCCCCCTTCCTTCTCCTTGTATCCTCCTCCTCTCCTTTTCTGCTCACTCTTGTAGTATAGCATTTACAACATATAGAGTAACCAATTGATTTATAATGTCCTAAACCTGACCTAAATGAACCCCTTTTCTAAAAAAGATATGTATGAATTCAAAAGAAAAACAACTTGGCCAGCCCAACAATATGATTCAATCTACTGTTTTTGTTTTGTTTTGGTTTGTTGTTGTTAAAAGATTCAGTTGAAGAAAAATTTCATAACCACGATTATGCAATCTTTCCCAACAATTGTCATTGTCTACAACATTCATGACCAAAAGTCTTCCCGTCTCATAGGGTGACAATAGGTGATTTTTCTGGGTTGCTCATTAGAATCCCATCCTGTTGGGGGATTCCCAAAAGGACACCTGTGACTTCCCAGTTTGCTGTTCAGCAGACACAGTTTTAGTAAATTCTTCAGTCCCATCATCTGTTTGCTTCTAGATTCTCATAATTTATTGCCACAATCTCTTCCCGATCACAAACTTGTGTGTTTCCTTAAGTGAAGGAGTGATTTCCTTCACTTACTTATTCATTGAACAAAGACTGTTTCAGGTGTGGACTGTCCCTAGAATAGAAACAGGAGTAGAGAGGGCAGTAGAGAGGGAGTGATGTCTGTGCCTCAAGGAGCTTCATTTCATTGGCGTGTACATCGAAACGCCTTTGGTTAGCACTGAACATTAGTGGACTCTGCTACTTAAGGTTAACAGAGGACGCACTGTGTGTGTTCCAAAAACTGTGTAGGAGCTCGCCACATACGTTTAGTGACCAGGAGCTGCTTCCCCACCCCGGCCTGCTGCCACCCTTACCCCCTACCCCACACTGGATGCGCAACGCATGTAGGGGGAAACAGGGTGCCAGGCTGGTTGGTGATCAGTCGCCGTTTATTCCAATCTGGGTCCCGCCATTTATTCCACTCTCACTGCACACCTGTTCCAATGTCACTGAGTGCCCCATTCCATTTCCCCCCTACCCCTCATTCCCATCTCCTACTTTCCCCCATGATAGACTCTCTGCCCAGTTTTGCATTCCCCCCACCCCCAAGTCCGGAAGGGGTTAGCAAATACACACCTGTGAGATTGCACAATCAACATATGTAAAGGCCACATGTTGGGAAAAGCTTCAGGGGAAGCTCTTCTAGGGCAAGAATCTTATCCTGCTAGGAGATACACTCAAGATTGAAATTTCATTTAAGGAGCTCAAGGGGGAATTTTATTCAAGGGTGTATTTCTCCTTTCCTTAGTCCATAACCATTTAAACGGTCATCGTAATTCTTCTTCTTAATAATATTAGTCATTTTGTATGGACACAGTAAGAGATACACAAAGCTTAAATGAGCCAATGCTCATTGCCTATGCCACTCTCCTCCCTCCCTTCATGCAAAAATTCTTTTGAGACATTCTTGCCCACAATGGGCACTGTCCTCAGCCTAGAAGCAGACCCCAGGGCCTAAGCCCGTAGGGGCTCCACTCTGCTGCTTTCATTTTAAAGTTCTAATAAATTTAGCAACTTTTAAAATGCAGATGTCTAAGATTCTGAACTTCACTATCACTATCACTATCATCCCATTGTTCATCAATTTGCTTGAGCAGGTGCCAGTAATATCTCCATTCATCCCTGTCATGTGCTAGTGTAGCCCAATGGCATATTGGGGGCTCTTTCAGGGTCAGGAGAATGAGGCCCATCATTGCTACTCTTTTTGGCATATTGAGTACGCCCCAGGTAGCTTGCCAGGCTCTGCCTTGCGGGTGGGATACTCTCAGTAGCTTACCGGGCTCTCTGAGAGGGATCGAAGCTTTTGGGACAGCCTCTAATCACC